TCAAAACATTTTGAAATCCAGAGAAAATTCATCTAATCTGTCAACAGTATGTCAACACATATTAAGACTGAAAGTGAAAGCAAGGCTGATGGACACATGACCAAATGTACCAGGGTACTGCACATATTTCAGTGCAAGTAGAAATAGTTCATTAAAACTGAAGCATGGCGAGTATTTAAGAACCCCCCTATACAAACCAGCCGCCCACTACACAAACCCAAAATCTGGCTCTGCACAATGACACTGATTGGCTACTAGACGTTCAGCAAAGCATAAACCAAGTCCTGCTGCCTTTGGCTCAATAATGAGAGACTTTGAAAGAAATATGACTGTGAGAAATATATGTTCTCGAATCAGATGTGTAGCAGGAGAGAGAGCGCCAGGCTATAGATCGTCTGTAACATGTGGAATGGCCATCTTGTGCATGCCTCTGTGTTTTTGGGTTTGTGTATGGATTTTGACTTAAGTTATGAATATGGAAAACACCTGCTGAAGTCTCCTGAATGAGGGATCTCACCAATGACATGGTCCTTCCTGTCAACATTTGACTAATGACAGGGCAGAAAGACTAGGGCAAAAAACAGAAGTGACTTTGTGTCATGGCAAACAAGACTCTGAATGACGGCTTCAATATATCAGTCTGCAAATTGATAAAACAGATCTGTGTTGGTGTGAAGGAGCAGTCAGCCATTGATAATGAATATGTGACAGTTAAAGGAATAGTTCATCCAAAAATAATAAGATTGCACTTACATTCACAAGCACAAAGTGGAGACATTCACAAAGCCACCGATGACGACCAGTTGTTCTTAAAAATATTTACTGAGGAAACTGTTGCGCCACCTGGGGGATTTAAAGAAATATTGGCATGCAAAAAAACCACACAAAAAAAAACACATAGAACATGTAAAAAAAAATGCACCCTCAAAAAATGTGATTTACCAAATGTATTCTCTTTATAAAGCTTGTAGTTTACATTATTTGGGTGTTTATTGTAAACATTAGCATGTGGAGGGTCTTATCTGTAAATGTGTTCCAGTAAGAGGAGGTTCCTGATGCATCAGCTGCACTTCCAGGGACACAAATCACCCACAGGAAACAGAAAGTAAACACTCTCTGGGAGCACTGCCCTGAACCCTAAACAAAACATCTGCCTGAAAGAGAGAGAGAGAGATGGACTGATAAAGGACTATACAGCATTTCAATACAATTAAGGGACAGTTCACTGAGAAAAAAAACGAGGGTGAGTAAATCATGACAGAAATGTACAGTTATGGCTTTAGTAAATGACCATGCTCAATTATTTAAAGTTTTTTACATTGTTTACATGTCTGCCTGGTGTTTTCCATATGCTTAAAGACTAATTAAGAAATCAACACAAATTCTTAAGCATCTTCTCCTTAAAATTGGAGTGTACCAAAGACTCAATTTCTCAAAAACGCCCGTTTCCTACCATCACAAACATGTAACCCAATTCTGTCAACTTGTGGGGTGGGGCTTTCCATATAATCATCTTCATTGGTCATTCTGTTTACAATTCCATTCTATTCTATTTACTATGTGTTTTTGTAGCGCTGAGCAGAGTAGCCAATCACGGACATATCTGTTGATTTCTTGAATGCAATGGCCAATCAGAGGTGTTTAAGTTTGTTACTATCCACTCACTGCTCAAAAAGCCAATGTTTTGTTCAGTACTGTGTTCTGCACACTCGCGAATAAAACAGTAGTAGACGGGAGATTGATCGATTGTGTGGTGTAAAGCTTCATTGATTATAACGATTCAAGATGAACTAAGATGAGTGACAGCTTAAGTGATTATAAGGAGAGTGCGCTTTCTATGCTATATATTCTGTTCAGAATTTGAATAAATTCACTCACGGATAACCTCTCTACGATAACCATGTATCCAATATTGCCATTTGACATTGTGTAGCGTTTACTACTCCGAGTTGGTGTGATAGTTTATATTCATGGATTCGCATATACTCAATGAGGTAAGGCTGTAAAGTTACATTCAAGTCATTTTAAGACATCAATAGATTCTTTATAGAAATGTGTCATTTTGATTATTAAACATGAGTTTTAAGAGATAAAATTAGTGACTGCAGGGAGACTTTAAGCAATTATATTCTCATGACGGTTTACATAAATAGACAAGCAATCCATACTAACTACTTTGTTTTGTCTTGTAATATAAAATTAACATTAATTGTCAAATTTGTTTTCTTTATTCGACTTGTCAAAAGAATTGCGCTTAATCGTACTGAATGTGCACTAGCTATGTATTTCAAATTCTTCAGTGTATTAAAAAACCTGGGGTTTCAGATAATATAATAATAATAATGAAAAAGGGCCACTTTTGTAATAATGTGCAACTAAAAGTATCACTTTAAAGTACATTTTAAATCATTATGTTTTGTTGTGCTTTAAATAATTTTCTATTTTGATGTGATGACTAACGTTCCGAAACACATGTAAAGTATCCAATTAAAAGTTTTATTGGGTTATTCATTATTACTTTTAAAGTTAATATATTTTAAATTTACTAAATTGCACCTTTGTTATTACAAATGCATTATTACAAATATATTTAAATGCATGATGACATACAAGTTTCTATAGAAATGGCGTTATATTTCATTTTACCATGTGCTTGTCAGTACATTCACTCTCACAAAAAAAAAAGTACAAAAGCTGTCACTGGGGCGGTACCCTTTCAAAAGGTATTAATATGTACCATTTAGGTAATAATTTGTACATTTTAGGTACTAATATGCACCCTTTAGGGGTGAATAAGGTACAAACGTGTACCTTTTGAAAAGTTACCGCCCCAGCGACAGCTTTTGTATCTTCTTTTCTGAGAGTGTTCAGCAGTACACTTTAACCATATTTTAAAGACAATAAAAGTAATTATGCAATTACATGTAAAGATAAAAAGCACTCTAAAGTCCAGATAATTGCATTTAATACATAACTGAACTATAATACATTTTCATTTAATCAATTAACATGTCATTATATGTCCAGAAATTGCATTCTGTTTG